CTTTTGAGGAACCTCATGGAACGTTGTATAAAACCCCATATTTGAGGGGAAGTCCTTTCATTTGGTTTGAAATCTCTTTAAAGCCCCTCAGACTATGTGGAAAACACCCTTTGATAAACACTGAGTTGCTCTCTCCCTCGGGAGGAACAAGGTCTGCCCTGACAATAGATAACACCCTTAGAGGTATGTGACTACGAGCATTTGAGGCTTTGGGGCCACAAGTGCTTATTAATACTCCTCGGTGTGTTCAGCAACCATTTAGACGAGTGCCCACTGATCCCCGGATGAGATGAATGACAACTACAGAAAGTCAAGGCCTCAAAGAAATGGTCCATCCCATGTTTTTCTGCATCACACCTCCTATTCACAGATCCTCATGAAGAGTGATGTGTGAAGCTGGAAGGTCTTATGGCCACAGGAGATGCTTGTGTGTCCCGGGCTGGCCTTGTAAGAAAAGGGGTTAGAAAGCTCAGGGCATCTTTGAGGTTGTTTACAATCCCCAGTTTGGGAACTCTTCCAAGTCAGGATTCCTGCACCCCCTCTGCAAGGCTGCACAGGTAGTGGATGGACCCTTTGGGCCTGAAAGCTTGTATCTTCTCAAATGTTTGATTTAAGGATCAGAAAGTTGCTTACTTTTTGTTGTTGTTTTTTGTTAATCTTCACTTGAGGATATTTTTTTCCATGGATTTTTAGAGAGAGTGAAAGGGAGGGCAGAAAGGAGGGGACCGTCTCTTCTTGTAGAGGCCAATTTTGGCCAACATGTGCCAGTGAATACATCTTTTATGCAAAAGAAGAATATGATATTAGTTGCTTTGAAGGAATTCTGGCATTGTATGTCCATTTTTGTAGAATTGTTACTGGACTTATACTTACTAAATTCCAATCAGGTTTTGGTAAAATTAAATAAAACAAATTAAAAACAAACAAGCAGTCTACGGCCATACCACCCTGAACGTGCCTGATCTCGTCGGATCTCAGAAAGCTAAGCAGGGTCGGGCCTGGTTAGTACTTGGATGGGAAACAAGCAAACTCAGCCCTAGCTGGTTTGGCTCAGTGACTAGAGCGTCAGCCTGCAGACTGAAAGATTTCATGCCAGTCTAGGGCACATCCCCGGGTGTGGGCTCAATCCCAGGTAGGGGGTGTGCAGGAGGCAGGTGAGCAATCAGTGATTCTCTCTCATCATTGATATTTCTATCTCTCTCTCCCTCTCCCTTCCTCTCTGAAATCAATAAAAAAAATTTAAAAAAGGAAAGATGTCAACATCATAAAAATTTTTTAAAAAAACTCAGCTCTATTAAAAAAACTCAATAAAAAAACAGAATAGCTGTGTAATCTCTCTTCATTTCTCAAAATAAGAAATTGGACCAAGTGATTTATAAAATTCCTTTATGTCTGAAATTCACATTTCAAAAATCTATATTCATCTTTTTCATATAGTCTAGAAATGTATCCCAAGGAAATAATAAAACAAATTTGCAAAATATACGTGCTAGTTGCAAAATTGTCTATAGCCTAGATGTGCACTATCAGAGACTAAATAATGGTGCCTCCATGCAATGGAATAGTAGGGAGTCATTAGAAGGGAACCAGATCTTTGTATTTTGCTATAGAATGGTGTCCAGGATAAATTGCTACATTGTTTATTTTTTTAAAGCAAATTACACAATACTAAAAGGTACAAATAGTAAGATCCTCTTTATATAAAAAATATTCAATAACTATTTCTTGATCATCTATTCTATACAAGAAGTCACTGGGTGGAACACAGGGGGAAAACAACACTGAATAAAACAGACATTTCAGACAAAAAAAAAAAAAAAAACAAATACACATCTGACTACTGATGTCATGAAGAAAAAAGGGGTTGAAGAGTGCTTTAGAGGTTCCTATTTTGGGGTGGTCGAAGAAGCCTCTCTGAGAAGATGGCATTCAATCAGAAACCTGAATCATGCGCGACAACAACCCGTGCAAGAATGGGGTTTCAGGGTGTTGGGAGGGGTCTGCCTGGCAGCGGGAACAGCAACTGCAAAGGCCTAGAGCTTGGAAAGAACAAAGGGTGCCTGAGGAACGCGAGCAGCGCCACCGCGTCCGGGGAGCAGGGAGCTGGGAGCTGGGAGCTGGGAGCTGGGGGGTGGGAGCTGGGAGCTGGGAGCTGGGAGCTGGGAGCTGGGGGGTGGAGGGTGGGAGCTGGGAGCTGGGGGGGGCGGGGGGCGGGCAGAGGCGTGGGCCAGCGGGCCCTGGCTCGCCAAGCTGAGGACTCGGGTCTCATTGTGTGCAGGGAAGCCCCTGGGGGCCGGAGCAGGCGGGACCTCAGGATATGTTTCCCGGAAGCTACATGTCGATTGCGCA